CTTGGACCGCGGTCATCGTCAAAGCCACGCCTTGGACCGCGGTCATCATCAAAGCCACGTCTTGGACCGCGGTCATCATCAAAGCCACGTCTTGGACCGCGGTCATCATCAAAGCCACGTCTTGGACCGCGGTCATCGTCAAACACCCGCCGTGGTCCACGGTCATCATCCATTCCTCTGCGTGGAGGACGCTCATCATCGCCAGTTCCACGTTGACCTTGATCCTCATCAAAACCTTGATGAGGTCCTTTGTCCTCTCCTCCCTTGAACGGAGGCTTGTCTTCTTTATCATCGTCTCGGCCTTTTTGTCTCCAGTCCCTGCAAAGAACACAACACTTGTTCAAGGGACCACTCAGTCGGATGCATTTCCTCCCGGAAGCTGTAAACTTGCAATCGCAATCTGTAACGCAAATTGTTTAATTGCTGAAATTCCTGCAGAGTGGAAGTCAGACAGATGTAGACCTGTATCTCTTCTCCCTCGTGTGTAAAAAGTTTTTGAAAAACCGGTGAATAAGCAGTTAACACATTATTTGAAGGTTTTAATGTTTTGTCCAGGACCCAATCTGGCTTTTGTTCAGGGCATGGTTCCATTACAGCCGCTCTGAAAGTTCTCAACAGAACATCTGTATGGATTCCTGACAGAACTGTGCAGCAAAGTTCATTGATTTAGCAAAAGCTTTGGACTCAGCTGATCGTTCCATCTTACTGAAGCAACTTGACCGTATCTGCATCGTTTTTATGTCTATATTTCTGATTTACTTCATTTTGTATTTTGCTTTGTGTGTTTCTGTCTGTACAGCACTTTGGTTGGCCTTGTCGCTGTTTTAAGTGCTCTATAAATAAAATGGTATGGTATGGTATTAGAATTCAGGACAGCCACTAGCATGGTTCCATAATTATCTTTCAAATAGTTCAGAGCAAGTGAAGGTTGACTTTCATTCTTCAGTTTCTTCCAGTTATGTCAGGTGTACCCCAAGGCTACATTCTTGATCCCACTCTTTTTTCCATATTTATAAATAATATCTTGCTTTCTGTTAGTGAGGCCTCCATCCATTTATATGCTGACGACACTATTCCATATGGTTTTGGTTCTACTCCAGATGACGTTGTGAAGTCCATTGCATGTGGTCTTCTTGAAATCCAGCAGCTCTTTTCTGACTTAAAATTGTCCTTAAATGCCAAGAAAACTAAAATCATGTGGTTCAGCCATGGAGGAGGAACCATACCCACCTCGGTGGACTTCACCACTGTAAACAGTGATATTACAGAAGAGGTAACAGTTTATAAATATTTGTGAATTTGGATTGAAGGAGCTCTGTCCTTTTCACGTCATGTTAATGTTTTACAATCTACGGTTAAAGCGAGACTTGGTTATCTAGATAGAAACTGATCTTAGTTTACACTGGCTGCAAAACGCACCATTGTTGAAAAAGCCACTCTCCCTGTGTTGGATTATGGAGACATAATTTACAGACATGCTTGTAAGGGTGTCCTTCATAAGCTGGACACAGTTTATCTCTCTGCTGTTGGCTTCGTTACAAATGCTCCTTATAGAACATCACCGTCTCCTCTACTCTTGTTAAATGGTCTTCTCTACATATTCCTGGGGAAATTCATTGGTTTACCCTCATTTATAAGATGTTGGTTATTTACCTCCATATGTAACTCAACTACTGCAACAAGCACCTGTTTGGAAGTAGAACAGCCGATCCTCTCAGTATTAACAACTGTAAAGACCAAGTCTGGCTCTGCTGCTCCATCTCACTGGAATCTGTTTCAAAAAACTTTGGGTCTGACCTCACTTGTCTCAGTTCCTAGTTTTAAAAATAGTTTAAAAGCTGTTTTGAAAGATACTTGTAAATGTTTTCATGTTTAGTAATCTTGTCGTTTAACTTTGACAATGAGCTGTTGTTGAGACCCCTTAGGATGAAAAAGATGGATGGAAACAGTGTTCCCTCGCCCGGACACGGGACACCGGGGCCCCACTCTGGAGCCAGGCCTGGAGATGGGGCACGCTGGCAAGTGCCTGGTGGCCGGGCTTTTACCAATGGAGCCTGGCCAGGCACAGCCCGAAGAGGAGACGTGGGTCCCGCTTCCCATGGGCTCACCACCTGTGGGAGGGGCCAAAGGGGTCGGGTGCAATGTGGGATGGGTGGTGGCCGAGGGCAGGGACCCTGGCGGTCTGATCCTCGGCTACAGAAGCCGGCTACTGGGATGTGTAATGTCACCCCTCTGGTGGGGAAGGAGCCTGAGCTGGTGTGTGAGGTTGAGAGGTTCTGGCTAGAAATAGTCAGACTCACCTCTACAGCATGGTTCTGGCTCTGGAACCAGTTTCCTTGAGAGGGGTTGGACACTCTTCCACTCTGGAGTTGCCCCTGGTGAGAGGGGCTGAGCAGGAGTGGGCGTACTTATTGCCCCCCATCTTGGTGCCTGTGTTGGGGTTCACCCCAGTGAATGAGAAGGTAGCCTCCCTCCGCCTACGTGTGGGGGGACAGGTTCTGACTGTTGTTTGTGCTTATGCACCAAACAGCAGCTCAGATTACTCACCCTTTTTGGAGTCCCTGGAGGAGGTACTGGAGAGTGCACCTCCTGGGGACTCCCTTGTTCTGCTGGGGGACTTCAACGCTCATGTGGGCAATGACAGTGAGACCTGGAGGGGTGTGGTTGGGAGGAACGGCCCCCATGATCTGAACCCGAGTGGTGTTCTGTTGTTGGACTTCTGTGCTCGTCATGGATTGTCAATAACGAACACCTTGTTCAAGCATAAGGGTGTCCATATGTGCTCTTGGCACCAGGACACCCTAGGCCACAGTTCGATGATCGACTTTGTCATCGTCTCATCTGATCTGCGACCATGTCTTGGACACTTGGGTGAAGAGAGGGGCGGAGCTGTCCACTGATCACTACCTGGTGGTGAGTTGGCTCCGATGGTGGGGGAGGATGCCGGTCAGACCTGGCAGACCCAAACGTATTGTGAGGGTTTGCTGGGAACGTCTGGCAGAGTCTCCTGTGAGACTTTGCCGACATGCGGCTCAGGTGGTCGCTGAGGCAAAAACTCGGGCGTGGGAGTAGCTCGAAGTGGCCATGGAGAATGACTAACGTACGGCTTTGAGGCGATTCTGGTCCACCATTCGGCATCTCGGGGGTGTGTGTGTGAAAGGGGTACGCCGCCACCAACACTGTTTATAGTGGGAGTGGTGTGCTGCTGACCTCAACTCGGGATGTTGTGGGTCGGTGGACAGAATACTTTGAAAACCTCCTCAATCCCACCGACACGTCTTCCACTGAGGAAGCGGAGCCTGGGGACTTTGGGTCAGACTCTCCAGTCTCTGGTGCTGAGGTCACTGAGGTGGTTAAAAAGCTCCTCAGTGGCAGGGCCCCAGGGGTGGATGAGATTCGCCCGGAGTTCCTTAAGACTCTGGATGTTGTGGGGTTGTGTTGGCTTACACGACTCTGCAATATTGTGTGGATATCGAGGGCAGCTCCCCTGGATTGGCAGACTGGGGTGGTGGTCCCCCTATTCAAAAAGTGGGACTGTGGAGTGTGTTCCAACTACAGGGGGATCACGCTCTTAAGCCTCCCTGGTAAGGTCTATTCGGGGGTTCTGGAGAGGAGGGTCCGTCGGATAGTCGAACCTCGGATTCAGGAGGAGCAGTGCGGTTTTCGTCCTGGTCGTGGAACACTGGACCAGCTCTACACCCTCAGCAGGGTCCTGGAGGGTGCGTGGGAGTTTGCCCAACATGTACATCAACATGTGCTTTGTGGACTTGGAGAAGGCATTCGACCGCATCCCTTGGGGAGCCCTGTGGGGGGTACTCTGGGAGCACGGGGTACCAGCCCCTTTGATATGGGCTGTTGGGTCCCTGTATGACCAGTGTCAGAACCTGGTCCACATTATCGGCAGTAAGTCGGGGAGTGGTGGCGCAGAGGTTAGAAGATGGGCTTGTAATCGGAAAGTCACAGGTTCACCTCCCAGTACCGTCAACATCAAAATGTGGGTGGAAAAGGTGAAACACCCACACCTCCCTCCACCCTCATTCACCCCACTCTGGGCCCCTGAGCAAGGCCCTTAACCTCCATCATCTGCTCCCTAAACAGGTCCCTCTTGAAAATGAGTTCTTGTAGCTCAATGAGACTACCTGGATAAAGAAAGGTTAAATGAAAAGTCGGGCTCGTTCCCGGTGAGAGTTGGACTCCGCCAAGGTTGCCCTTTGTCAACGAGTCAGTTCATAACTTTATGGACAGAATATCTAGGTGCAGCCAAAGTGTTGAGGGGATCCGTTTTGGTGGCCTTATGATCGCTTCTCTGTTTTTTTTTGCAGATGATGTGGTCCTGTTGGCTTCATCAAGTCGTGATCTACAATTTTCGTTGGAGCGGTTTGCAGCAGAGTGCGACGCGGCCGGGATGAAGATCAGTTCCTCCAAATCCGAGGCCATGGTCTTGAGCCGGAAAAGGGTAGAGTGCCCTCTCCAGGTCAGGAATGAGGTCCTGCCCCAAGTGGAGGAGTTCCAAGTATCTTGGGGTCTTGTTCACGAATGAGGGAAAAATGGAGCGTGAGATTGATAGGTGGATAGGTGCAGCGTCAGCAGTGAAGTGGGCGCTGTACAGGTCTGTCGTGGTGAAGAGAGCTGAGTCAAAAGGCGAAGTTCTCAATTTACCGATCGATCTACGTTCCTACCCTCATCTATGTTCACGAGCTTTGGGTTGTGACCGAAAGAATGAGATCTGGGATACAAGCGGCCGAAATGAGTTTTCTCCACAGGGTGTCTGGGCTCTCCCTTAGAGACAGGGTGAGAAGTTCGATCATCCGGGAGGGACTCAGAGTAGAGCCGCTGCTTCTCCATGTCGAGAGGAGCCAGTTGAGGTGGCTTGGGCATCTGTTTAGGATGCCTCCCTGGTGAGGTGTTCCAGACACGTCCCACCGGGAGGAGACCCAGAGGAAGACCCAGGACACGCTGGAGGGACTATGTTTCTTGGCTGGCCTGGGAACGTCTTGGGATTCCCCTGGAGGAGCTGGACCAAGTGGCTGGGGAGAGGGAAGTCTGGGCCTCCCTACTTAGGCTGCTACCCCCGCGACCCGACCCGGATAAGTAGAAGAAAATAGATGGATGGAATGAACTGTTAATGTAATTTATGATTTCCTTGTTACTGACTTCTGTATTTTATAGTTTTGTCTAACTATTGTTTCCCTTCACTTGACCCTTCAACCTGCTGGTGCTGCCAGGCCAGCTCTGTCAAGAGCAATCTGTTCTGTGTTTATGGCTGCTTAAATAGAGGTGACATGGGAAAATTAAATTTAACCATCCTTGCTAAATTATCTCAGGCTTGCAATCCTGACCCAACACCTTAGACCCCCGCCTGGTTTATCTTCCTGCCTGCTAAAATCCAGAGAATAGGAATGGGCCGGTGTTTCATATAACCGTGAGCACAAATACTACACTTTCACTGTAACAAAACAAATGATTCATCATTATTTAACGTGTTTTACCACATCCACTATCTAAAGGGCGTGCATGTGTAGTGATGGTTCAGTCTGGACTTTCTGGACGGTTAGCGTGAGCTGACGATCACCACTGTCTGAGGACGTGCACGTTTTTAAGTGATTTGTTTTTACTGCATGTTGGTAACAGCCACGACAGAAAAGCAAGAGACAGGCATCATTTCAACTCTCTACGGCAAAAACAAGGTTAGTTCAAGAAAAACCTGCCTGTTGAATAAAAACCAGCTGTGTGAAAGAAAAACAACTCCAGTGACAGATGCAGGGGAGGCCATACAGGCAAGTATGGCAGACAGCTATGTCATTTAATCAAACTTTGAAAGTTATAAAGGTCTAAGTTTTTGGTGTCGTTATAAAACATCTGAACAGGTTTAATTTTATAGACATCACTGTAGTCTTATTTTGGAAAGTTTACAAGAAACACTTGTAGTTATTTTTGTAGTCACTTGTTTACGTTTGAACAAAAATAAACTGTCCAGAGGACCTGACTCAACTTTGATGGTTTTTACCTGATAACTGAGCATGAACTTTGTTGTTTGTGCTGAATTAAAACAATATTTAAAAAACTTCATCTGTAACATCCTGGGGGTGCCGAGTAAACCGGGAATGGATCTAAAAACTGTCCGCACCTGTCAGGAACGGGACGCCGCCATTCTGATTCCCCTCCTTCGGTGCGCCGTCTCCAACCCGTCTCGTCCTTCTCGCCCCAGTCCTGTAAAAACACCCACACCGACAATAAGACACCAACTGGCTGACGTAAAGTTTAAAGTCATCGTTCAGACCTTCTCTTTTTCTTCCGGCGGAACCCGTCTCTTTTCCTCGCGGAGGCGTTCTCGCTCCTCGATCTCCTGCTGGCGAGCGCGCTGCGTGCGCTCCTGCTCCTCCAGTTTCCGTAGACGCTCCTGGTACTCCCTCTCCTCCTCCTCTCTTCGCTCTTGTTCGAGGCGCTCCCGCTCTTCACGCTCTGTAAAAAACAAAGAGGCGTCGGTGAATCATAATTTAACCAGCAACTTCCATCAACTTAATTTCTGCAGAACCTCCTGTCTTCGTATCTGAGAACCCCACAGACCGTGACGTTTTAAAAAAAGGTCTTAAAAACTTTCTTTTTACTTAATTTTTAATTGATTGAATTGTACTTTAGTTTTTTTATTGCACCCATAGTTCTTATTTGAGTATTTTATTTGCATTTTGAGTTTTGATGTGATCTTTGCGAGGCATTGTCCTCCTGGTTGTTCCTCCTCTCGGTTGCTTTTTGTCTCCATGTTTTCTGATGCTCACTCATTGGAGCACTTTGAGATCTGTTGTGAAGGTAAAGTGCGTAATAAATAAAAGTTATTATTATTGTAAAACAGGTTTTCTGGACTCTTTACCAGCTCTCGTTTTATTTACACCTCAAACTCCTTTAGTGACAGAACTGAGTTTACTTTAGTGCAAGATAGAAACGACTATCACAAGCATCAACTTTCACAGCTATATTTTGGGTTTCTGCATGCACCGGGAATTCAACAGTTTCTGCTAACAACCTTTCTTGAGCTGCTCCTCGTGGATGCGCTGCCTCTCTTCCTCTTTCTGGCGGTAGAACGCGTGACGCCGGTCCTCTTTGCGCTGCCTCTTTCTGTCTTCCAGGCGTTTCTTTCGTTCCTCCACCAAACGCTCCTGGAACGCTTTCAGCTTTTCCTGTGAAGACAAAAAGGTTCTGAACTTTCTTTATTTACGTCAAGACTAAAAATAATTCTGCTGTCGGAGCCACACAAGCCGATGGTCAGTTCCGCCCTGACTGAACGTAGGTACCTCGTAAATGAAGCTGCGCGCGGCGGTTATTTTAGACAAGAAGCCGTCTTTGTCCTCCACCATCCTGGACATGCGGTTCTTGTGCTCCAGAGCCTTCTCTCGCTCAACTTTCATGTTGTTGATCTGCGGAAACAAACGTCCAGATTTAACCTCAGCGTCGAGTTGTTCATGTTCAGCTGTTGTGGACGTACCCTGTCCTCCTCCTGGAGCTCCCAGAGCTCCATGTCTTTGATGCGCTGCTCCTCGTAGGCTTTCTTGATGAGAGGAATCTCCTCCAGGCGCTTCGCCCTCTCAAAGTAGTCGATCTGCAGAGAAATAACGGTGAGAACACGACTCGTGTAGTTTACAGATGATCCAATCAGTCATCTGGCGACCTTCTTCTCCTGATTCTTCAAGCGCTCCTGAAGTTCTTTCTTCTCCTTCTCCAGTTGCTCCACTTGTTTAGCCATAATATAGTCAGGGTCCAGCTCCTCCAGGTCCTGAACAAACAGACTCGTTAGTGCCACCAAGAAAATTGAACTCAACCAGCAGTTCCTCTCGCCCACTCTTTACCTCGATGTCAATGTCCTTAAAGGCCTTGGCGCCGAGTTCAGTTTTCTTGATCTGCTCCAGTCGCTCACGAACGGTTTTCTTCTTGATCTGCTCGTGCTCCTGCATGATGCGCTCCTTCTCTCTTTCTTTGGCCTCCTGCCGCAGGCGCTCCTCCTCGGCTTTGCGGACTTTCTGCATCTCGGCTTCTCGTTGTTCCAGCTCCTCCTTCTCCCGCTGGATGTTGAGGCTCTCCAGGCGCTCCTTCCTCTCTTCGATGGTCTGCCTGCGAGCCAGGATGCGCTGGTGGTCCTTGCGGGCGTTTTTCAGGTACGCCGCGATGGCCTGCTGATTGTGCTCATCGCGCTCTTGCTGAAAATAAACAGATGGTTTTTAGAGCTTGGAAACAAAACAAAGCGCTGTGGGAAAAAGAACAAGTTCAATAAAAATCCGTTCATTGACAAATTTAACTTTTAGTTTGTAAAGTGGCAACAAAGCCCAGATGCTTTCAAAATAAAATGTGGTGCAAATTCTGCACATTTACTCGTATTTTTGTGTTTATAGCTGGTTGACGCCTTAAACGCCGACACTTCGGATACATTTTGTGCATGCTCCGAGATATTTTTGTGACTTTTACAGGAAATCCTGAGCAGCGTGAGGAACATCCCAGCAAAGGCTGAAGATGACTGAACACGCCTGCCGTCTGTCAGGAAAGATGGTGGACTAACCAAGATGGTGGTGGGTTTGATGATCTGGATGGCTTTAGCCAAAGAGGCAGACATGGCGGTCAGCTGGTTTCTGATCTGCTCCGATGGCATGTTCTGCAGGAACGGGCCGACGGGAGAATCTTCTTTAGTCGAGTAGTTCAGGTCAGAGCCGAAGCTCAACGTCCGAGACGTGTGGTCAATTCGAACCTGCAGCGATAGCAACAACACATTTGAGATACTTTAGACAAAGTTTATCAGTCAACATTTCACTAAAACTGCTGTTAGAGTCACCTGCAGGTCACAGTGCCGCGCAGCGTCCACTATGGAGCGCTCCAGCTGAAACGCGTCCACAAATGGCACCAGGGAGGCCAAACGGCTGAACTCGATGCTCTGATAGATCTGTGCCACCTGATCAAACAAAAACCAACGGGTCACAACTATTCCCAGGTTAAGGTGAATTTAAGAAAGTCCAATGAGGAGAGGATGTACCTGCTGCAGCAGCCGGAGGATGGTGTTACTCTGCAGGTGTGGAACGTACTGCTGCAGATCTGCCTCCTTCTCAGCCTGATCCCTCACCCAGTTCAACACCTGAAGGACAGCGAGCCATAAAATAAGAAACCGCCAGTTATTTTACACAAACAATAAAAACAGCTCTTACCTTTGTGACTCTTCCACTCAGCTTCAGAGGATGAAAGTCGACCTCCAGCCAGTTGTAAAGCTCTTTCACTTCAGGCACTACATACTGCAGCAGGTTAAACCTCACCTACAAATACAATAAAAAACAAACAAACGTAAAAAGCTGCTTAAATCTTTTAAACATAAAGGTCCTTCTGTAGGCCCTTAATGTACCATGTCATTCATGAGGCTCTGGCGGGTCGGTGGGGACTGAACACCCAGGAGAGTTGCCAGCCTGCGGTGCTTCTCCACGATGATGCCGTCCATGTCCAGCAGTCGAGCGATGTCCGTACGCTCAGGAGTGATGGGAATAGACAGAGTGGCCAGGAGGACTCTGGTGGACATCCTGCAGATCAAAGTTACGCATCATAATCTATTTTTGTCACAGGCAAAGATAAATTCTACTCTGTAAAGAACGAGCGGGACACCTCTGCATCTCATCTGGGGTCAGATTCTTGCGCATTTCCCTTGAAAGGTGGTAGAGACGGTGGAGAGTGCACGCATGGAACAGAGCATTCCCAGACTTCCAGAAAACAGTAGAAACTTTGTTGTAGTAGTTCGCCATGAGCTGAGGCTTTGGAGGCTTCTTGGAGAGAGCAAAGAGGCCATGGATGTCCTCAACAGCCTTAAACGCTTCCTGGAGAGACAAAAACAAAAACCTGCATCAGTGACTTCCTTTAGTTTGATCTCGGACTCGTTTAGTTACAAACTTTAACATGAATTTAAAGTTACTGGTATTTCCCAAACCACAGGTTGACTAATTCTATAATTTGCTGACAAACATGATAACGACTGTACACAAACCTGCCAGAGCTCCATGCTGATGGCGCTGTCCAGCTGCACCAGGCGGGTCTCCAGGTGCATGGACTGGCTCTCAGGGTTGTTCAGGTTGATGGCGGTGCTCTGGTTGTGGTGTCGCTGGATCTGACCCAGGTGCATTCGGAGGTTGTCGCACAGTTTGCGAAACTCGGCTTTACGGGTGTACTGAAGGCAAAACTTAAACGCTGCCGGAATTTAAAAAAACAAAACAGTTTCATCATTTTCTGCAACAACTGAGGTCTAGTCTATAAAAGGTCCAGTAAAATAAACAACGTATTAGAAGAGGAGTCCTGTAGGAAGGTTATTAAATATAAATATTGTGGAGCTGTTTGCTCTTTAGTATGGTCAGAAGTAAACCTTATTTTCTCAAACTGAAATTGTTCCAAAAGATATCTACAACAGGTAAGATATTAAATAATGTGATCAACTTCACCCCACTTCATGCAGAATAACATTAAAGGGATAGTTCAGATCTTTGGTCATTTGGGGGTTTGAAACACAGCAAAGCTACATAAATATAATGCTAATATCTCAAAAATGAAATATTTAAACTAAACGTGCTGTCAGTTTTACACAAAGTCTGGTGATAGAGGTACAAAATGCGCTCACATAACTTTTGATACTGATAACGGAGACATTAGTAAATGAGCAAAGATCAATAAGACTTTGTTCTGCACATAATTTGCCGTTACACAAAAGTTCTTACTTTAACACTAATGCACCTTACAAAAACAGGTAATCATAAAAAAAGACGACTTGATATTATTGCAATGTTAATACCTTGCTGAGCAATGTCATGGTACAGTCGCTCCACTTTGGAATTGTTCCTCAGCAGGTCCAGGCACTGGCGGTAAGACTCCCACAAGAACTTCACCCAAGGAGTGAGTAGCAGACGATCCGTACGATCCTGCGTGTCCTCGCCGCTGACGGCACTCAGCAGCACACTACAATGCAAACATAAACCCAGAAGTTCAATTATGATCAAAGTCCAAAGCAATAAATTAAAAACTGTCTAATTATATGTTTACATGTTTAAAATACACCAGCTGCTTCACCTTTCTGGGGTCTGGATGTTGTCCAGGTCTTCGATGTCCAGGACCATCTGCTGAGACTCCTCCTTGGCGGTCTCAGTCTTCTCCTCTGCCAGTTTCAGGTAAGCCCGAACCACATCCTCCAGAGATTTGATGTTTACCTGGCAGAAGGAAACTCATTTAAACACGTCACAACAGAATCAACAAGAATGCAAACAATAAAAACATGAACATGTTCTTCCCCACCTGCTGGCAGATGTTCTTGTACTGGTAGAGGCCCTCTTTGGCCAAGTGGCTCTTGCGCAGATCCACACAGAGCTCCAGGTACTTGAGCATGATGGGTTCGTGGATCTTCTGCCATGTTCGGTGTTTCTTACTCTTGATGACATCATACAGAACGTCCAAGGCCGGCTGCTTTTTGCCAACCTCAAGGAATTCTGTTCAGACATATTTTAGAGACGCAACTTAACACAGCAGGAACGCAGCGATTACAAGCTAGCTAGGCCCCGAGCAGAATTTCATAAACATCAATCCAGCAATTTTTTAATTTGACAACATTACTGTCAGTAACATCTAAAAAGCCTTGCGATCAGTTTACAAAAATTAACCCGACATTAAGCATCAAACAGAGGCATTAAACGGTCAAGCCGGTTAGCAACGTTGGGTAGTGATATAGCACCACGAAGCCTTCCCCGCCACCGGCTAACATGCTAACGGCGGCTAACGCCGTTAGCAGCTAACATGCTAAGCTAGCCGCAGTTAGCATGTTAGCAGCTAACATGCTAAGCTAGCCGCAGTTAGCTTGAATCTGTAACGCCAGTGAAAGACGAAGCAGCGTTCCTACTCACCGTTCGCTCGTTTCAGAGCATTTTCTGGCCGCTGAAAATATGCCGGCATGTCGGCGTTGTTCGAGTAAAACTCTTAGCTGACTGACTTCGGTAAAATTATGACAAATTTTACCAGCTCGTCCAAGCCACGCGCTCATCCGCGGCGACGGTGCTGGGCTGAGAAAGAACGGAGAACGGAAGCTCGTGACTAGCCTAGCATGGGTTGCCAGGTGGGTCCGCCCACATCCGGGAACCTCAACGTAACATTTATTTATTTTGTTTTAATGAAGAATTTCTCTCAACAAAAGAGGCATTAATGTTTTAAACAATTATTTCACCTAAACCATGTAGCATGTAATTCACAACAAAATGGAAGAAATAATAAAAATACAAAATTAAGTGAAAAACAAACAAACAAATATTAACTAAAATCTACTTGTCTTAAAGACAAGTTCTTCAACAGCTCTGGCAACCTTCAGGCTCTTCTCGTTTCCATTTACAGCTTGAAACAGAACATTGTAAATTATTTTTAATGCCACAAACATTTGAGACGCTTTAATAAAATGTTCATTTGAACGTTTTCCAATAACCTGAACTTGATTTTCCAATCTATATTTTGCACGAAGAGTCAAAACAGGTCAGGTCTCTCTTGTAAATGAGTCCTCAAGGCTCAATGGGATTTATTTGTCTAAATAAAGGTTGAAAAAAACACAATAATTTTTATTCTAAAGCAGGTAGTACTTGTTTTGAAGAAACCATTAATCAACTCATGTTCTCAAAACATGTAACAATACTGCATGGATGCTACCCTGCATTACCCTGCAGATGTTGGATGCTGTCTATCATGGTGTGCTAAGATTCACAACTGGCTGTAACTACCGTACCCACCACTATACCCAGAATTCACTGGTTAACTGGACATCGTTAACTTCATGCAGACTCTCTTCATTAGTACATTTTCATCTTTAAATCACTTCTTGGTCTGTTGCCTTCATACATCTCCTCCTACAAAATGCTGCAGCTCGGCTACTAACAGGAACTCGCAGGTTTGAGCACATTACTCCGGTTCTGTCCTCTCTTCACTGGCTTCCTGTGCGTGTCAGAGTTGATTTTAAAATTCTCCTGCTGACATTCAAGTGCATTAACGGCCTTGCACCATCATACCTCTCTGACCTTCTTCATCCTTATACTCCTTCTCAGGCTTTGAGATCATCAGACCAGCTGCTTTTGGCCGTACCAAAAACCAGCTGAAGCTCAGAGGAGATCGAGCGTTTTCAGTCGTGGGCCCTAAACTCTGGAACAATCTGCCCATCAACATTCGACAGGCCACCTCAGTCTCTGCTTTTAAATCTCTCCTAAAAACACATCTGTACTCACTGACACATCTGTACTCACTGACACATCTGTACTCACTGACACATCTGTACTCACTGACACATCTGTACTCACTGACATTTAACACAGGGTGATCGGATTTAGATCTGGTTTTTCATTGATGCTGATTCTGTTTATGCTTTTGTTATTATTCCTGTTTAACACAAGGTCATCTGATATGATTTAGTATTTCATTGTTTCTGACTGAGTTTATGCTTTTTGTTATTATTCCTTGACTTTTGACACAACGTGATCTGATCTAGTATTTCATTGTTTCTAATTGTTTTTGGTTTTATATTTTTGTTCCATGTGCTGTAAATATATCTTGCTACTTTTTATTTGATGATGTGATATTTTTGTTAAGCACTTTGGTAACAGTTTCTGTTTTAAATGTGCTCTATAAATAAATCTGACTTGACTTGACTACTTGTCACTTTGTCAGTGCAGCTACAGCGTGCGCTCTCAGGACATTATTACATGCAGTGCTCCCTCATTGCAGACTAAACTTGGCAAAAGGGCCTTCTCCTACTCCGCTCCTCTATTCTGGAATATCTTGCAAAAAGATCTGAAGCTCTCGACCTTGACCGCTCTAAGGGACTTTAAACATCTGCCAAGTTCATGGCAAAAACCAACGCAGACATCTTTCTGTTTTTAGTATTTTATATAACTTTATAATGCAGCTCTTTTTGTCTATTTTTTATATAATTTCTTCCATTTTACTGTATATGCTTTTTTAAATGATGATCTGCTGTTGTCATCTGTGTTCTTGGTTTAAAACGAGTTTATCGCAAATTAGTCCTGTAAAATCAGAATGGGAGGAAGATCTTTCAGTTATGAGGCTCCTCTCACCAGTTTATAGTTTCTGTCCATAGGGCTGACACGTTGTCCAGTTTTAAGACTGGGCTTAAGTTGCGTGAAGGCAACGGTGGAAAGGAAAAACTCCCTCATGAGGAAGAAGCCCAGTCTACACACTCTCT